CTATATATCAAAAACATGTACAAAACGTGTTCTTTCTGAATTACTGAAATTTTTTTTGAATGTATTTTTCAATGTTTACTTCTTCGACTTTTACTTTTCCGCACACATAGTGTAAGGTGAAAAGTATTGTAATCGGTCAAAATTTTGAAAACTTCAGAAACATGTTTTCTGGGCGTTTCTGAGGTCAGAGAACCCGAATCAGGCCGTTTTGAGCATGGTTTATGTTAATCTGTACGTCGTACGTTGTACGTCGTACGCAAAATTTGTTAGCAAGATTGCGCTCTACGTAGAAACCTCACAGGATGATTGGGGATCCCGAGGAATAGAAATCATTAGCTTTTGAGCGACTTTGGTTGATGGAAAAAAATTTCATGCCTGGAGTGATACCTATTAAAAAGAGTCCAATTTCCGTCCAAAAATCATACTTAATGTAGACTTAAACACTCAAAAATATGTATTGGGGGGTTTTTTGGCACGAGAAAACAGAATCCGATGTTAGTTTTGAGATACAATCAATTTTTGATACACTTTCCTTGGAAAAATCACAAAAAAAATGAATTTTTGTATGGGAGCAATGCCTGTATGCTACCTTAATGGTGTGAAACTTTGCACAGTTTGAAGAGATTTCAATCAAAATTAGGGGTACCTCTCATACAAAACGAATATTTTGTATGGGAGGTACTCTTAATTTTGGTTGAAATTTCTCCAAACCCTCCGAATGTTATTTTTTGTGAAAAAAAACCTGTGCAAAGTTTCACACCATTAAGGTAGCATACAGACATGGCTCCCATACAAAAATCCAAATTTTTTGTGACTTTAGTTATGAAAAGCAATGAGCGCTAATATCGTAGATTTTTCTTTATCGATTCCACCAATACGACATCTACTAAAAAAACTCGCCGATTTCTGTTACTAGTGGTGTTTTAATACAGCTCGTGTAAACGTACAAAGGAACACACTGACTCCGATTCTGTGTTTGCGTATGTATTACAAATTCTGCACTCAGTCGTCAATCGTAGCTGCTTGTGCAAAATTTACAATACATACGCATACACAGGATCGGAGTCTGTGTGTTCTTTTGTATTAGTTCGTCTGTAATACAGCCATAGCCGTATAGTTCGCTCGAGCTGTGTCAAAGAACAGTAGTAACAAAAATCGGTATCTTTTTTAACAGATGTCGTATTCGTAGAATCGATAAAATTAATTTGTATGGGGAATATACGATACTAGTTCCCATCGATGAAAAGTGTTTCAAAAATAATTTCTATGGCAAAATTAGCGTCAGACATATTTTTTATAGTGTTTTGTTAGAAAATAATAGAATACTTTCAAATGTCGTACAAATGGGTTCATCATGAAAGTGTGAAAAATCTTTTCTCGGGTACTTCTGCTATTAAATTAAAGAATATTTTGTTGCCAAAGTTGAGACATATTATTTGGTTTCGAACCTTACGACGCTTGAAAGGCTTGAAAAATCGAACAAATATTATTTTGAACTTTTTTAATAAAATACGCAACCGTGCGGAAAAGTTTGTCTTACTCCCGTAAGACTCTTTATTTTTTTTTTGTTAGCGTTGGAATTAATTGCTTTTGGTGTTGTTTTTGTATTAAATAAATTTAGATTAACCGTCGAATACGGCAAAATGATTTCAAAAGCGGTGATTCATCAAATGAAGACGAAATGATTGTACGAGGTTCAAACTACTTTGTATTGAGTTCAAAGAAATACACGGAGAAAACATCGAGTGATCCAAATGAACGTTTCATTCAATTGAAAACGCTGTTACCGAATTTGTTGCTCGTCAGTAATGTGAGTCAATTAGGCTACAATGTATGGAAGGATTCATATAAAAATATTGTAAGTTCATTTGAAAAACCATTTATCCAAATTACTAATATTGATGATCTCATTTATTTCAATTTATTGATCAACTCATTTCTATTTCAGTACTCCGGATTGTCACTTTCATTGCCCAAAAACATTCACCTGCTGACATTTGAACCATGGAAAGCTGATTCGATTTTGCTTCGTTTCGAGCATATTTTTGAGAAGAATGAAGATATTCAAAACTATTCAAAAGATGTCTCCTTCAATTTATATGATGTATTTAACTCATTTCACATTATTTCGTATCGTGAAACAACATTGGCTGCAAACCAATGGCTGAGTCATTCTAAACGTTTCAATTTCACGGCTAAAACAGATGACACAATTGAAACATCTGACTTTAATAGCTATCAAGATGAGAATTTAAGAGCCGATCCAATAAGAAGTCATTCATTCCGAATTACACTAAAGCCTATGCAAATTCGAACGTTCGTAGTACAAATAAAGTGGAGATCACATGATAAGACATGAAACGATATAATTGTTTTGTTTTGGTTTATTTTTCAACTTAAAATTCTATTTACAAGGCAAAAAAAATGTTTTTTTTTTCCACTTAACAAGTTGATTTCTTAACTATATTTTATTTAATAAAAAAGCAATTCGAATGCGAATTGATGTGTGTGTTTTTTTTAAATTTTGTTTTATTTTATTTGAAAATGCCAAATATTTGGCATGACATTTAAAAGGCTCAGTGTAAAAATGCAATGCTAGACAAATTAGATTCTTAGACACACTAAGGTCCAAATTTGCGTAGCATTATTGCGTTCCTACTCTCAGCCTCTCATTTATGAGATAAGATTGATTTTCTTTCTTATTTTAAATTGTTAAAAACTATATAACTTATAAATGTTTCGCATCAAATGTCTTCTTACAAATCCAATATTTTCGGTATTTTGCGGCAACGTTTTGATTTACGTGTGCAACTATCATCCGTATCTTCAACGGTTGATTCTGGATCGGTAGTTAATTCATTTGTGAAATCCGTTTCAGTATCTTCCGATGGGAAATTCCGTCGTTGTGGTGGCATTGAAATCGAATGACTGTTTTGGATGTGTTGCGTTGAACTGAGTGCTGTGTGAATGTTTGCGAATTGATTTTGCATTTCATC